CGTAGAGTTCGTAGAGGAACAACAAACACCTTTATGGAGTTTTCCTATATTCCTTATATGTTTACGTACTGTTTCATAACAAAACATGCAATTACATGGCTATTTCACGAGTATATTGCCTTGGGTTAGACTCAACAAGCGTCTTCAAAGCATCAGTATCAATTCCAACATTTCGGCCACTGCCATAACAGTTTTTAAGGCTAAAGCCACCTGAACGAAATTTACTGAACCATCATTGACACTTACGAATGTTCAAAACTTTTCCATAAACTTTGATATTCTTTGTGGTCACAGAGGTGTTGTTCCACTTCTTGTATTCAAACAGCATTACATGCCGAATGTATGTCTTGTTGTGTGGCATGACTATAAGGAATTAGAGTATATTAAACTTTACACATTATATAGGCTACACTAATGTGTTGTTTAGGCGGTTCGTTTAACTATTATACGTAATGTACGTTTTTTTGGGAGTGGTTAATGAAAGTGTTCCAAAACGCGACATTAATTTCTTGACGACCTAATAGTTGTGGTCTAGGCGAACAGCAACTGTTATGGAGTGTTAAGTAAATGAACTGTAATTTCTACCACTTTTAATTAAGTCATTTTACAAATTAGAATTAGGGTGAGTATTAATAACACAATATTATTTATTTACTTTTACATATGGATTATTTATTACTATTACTGTTTTTGCGTAATAATGAAGTAATATTCTTATGGTAGCTATGCCAAGCACTTTTGTTAGACGTGATAAAGAGGACGTTGTATTTATTAAAGATTCGATATAATGATATATAACATCGTAAGCGATCAGTTTATGAGCCACTTTAACAGTCGTTTGTACAATTTCTGTATCCGAACGAAATGGTAAGAAACACATGTTGTTACAAAAGTAAAACAAAAATAATTCGATTTTTACGCCCACTTTAGCAAGTAATACGGAACGGTCTTGATTCCTGATAAACTGCTGATATTAAAGAAACATTACTTTTCACAATACTTTGGGGGTTGGAAATACGAAACATTTGTTCACAACAAATCTCATACCATGATCATTTCAGTGGTGCAGCAGATTTTAAAATGAAGTGTCATTGCTCTATTGGAACTGTTCTAGTCGGACTGTTTACATGTTTTTTTTACCACCCTTAAAAAGCAAGAATTATTAAAATAGAACATCTTCAGCATTTGTAATTACCTTTTGTATTATAACACACGCGCATATATATATATATATCAGACAGGCGGTAGCACTGCCTGTGTAGGGATGGCTCGAATTGTTCATCGAAATGGTATTTTAAATATCTCCTCAATAGATCATCAGAACTTTACAATACTACACAGTATTTCCTTTTATAACAGTATCTTTGTAATTACCGAGCCAAAAGTTCTGGGAATGTCTGTAAATATCGTAGCGAAAAGTTTGAATTTCTTGTTCTTATTTCTTTTTTTATTACATGATAACTCAAAAACCAAAACAATTGTGTCAACCAATTTCGCTGACGTGACATAGTTTCAAATGGAGTATCCGCTTTTATAAGTATTATTAACTAGTAGTAATTAAAAACATAATACTAGTGTAAACGATGTTATCATT